AATTGTGTAAGTATAGGAATTAGAAGGAGAAAGCTAAACCAGGATGAGGATGAGGATGAGGATGAGGGGCCGGGCCCCTCCTTCCTGAAGTGACCCTGCTACGGTCCTGGTAGTGGTACAAAGACAGAGAATTCCTAAACCTGAGGATATTGATAGGTGGGCAAAAGAAGTGCCCCACCCTAAGTCTGATATGCAGCAGACAAAAAACAGGTCATTTTAAGATACTGCAGAAAGCGCATGCTCAAGAATACATGATCATGCTGTGTATTCTGTCATAGACATTGCAAATGGTTTCTGGTCAGTACCTTTACACCCAGAGGTTCAGGATTGGTTTGCATTTATTGTTTGACGAAGAACAGTACACCTGTACCAGGCTACTTCAAGAGTTTCACAACAGCTCGACAGTGTATCACATGGCTCCAAGACAGCACCTACGTGAACTACCTCAACTGACTTCTGTGATCATTCAGTATCTGGATGATATTCTGATTGCTTCCCCTGATGAGGAAACCCATAAGGTCGAGCTACTCCAAGTACTAGACCTTCTAGCAAAGAGAGGTCATAAAGCCAGTTACGATGAAGCACAAATCAGTTTAGAAACTGTGATCTATCTGGGACAAAAGATCAGTAAAGGGAAAAGGGAACTCAGTGAGTAAAGAACTCAGGCTATTTGAGGGTTTCCAATACCAAAGCCTGTGAAGGAATTGAGATCATTTCTGGGCCTGTGTAATTTTAACAGGGCCTGGGTGGACTCTTTTTCAGTGCGAGCACAACCTCTAACAGATCTGCTTAAGTGGGGAGTGCAGTCCAAGGACAAGATTGCCTTGACTCCGGCAGCAGAAGCCACCTTTAATGATTTGAAGTAAGCTCCCTTGGGATTCCCTCAGACGGACCAACCATTTTTTCTGTATGTGAGAAAAACAGGTTTTGGGCAGCTGTGCTGATGCAGGAGCATGGAGGTAAGCATTGCCCGGCCGATTATTATTCAGGACCCCTCGATGCAGTGGCCAAGGGGTGGGGGTTGTGTTTAAGGGCTGTGCAGGCTACCTGCTTGGCTGTACAAGCTGTGAGTAATCTTGTGTTAGACCAGCAGTTAATAATGCGGTGCCCCCACCCTGTGCATACACTGCTCCTACTAAATCGAGTAAGTCAGGTAACTATGGCACGGTGGACCCAATGGCAGGCTCTCCTAGAGGCCTCCAACCTGACCATTGAAAGGGAAGGAACGCTTAACCCCGTCTTCATCTCCTTGCAGACCCTGGCGAGAATCATTTAGTTGAGCATAGCTGTGGGTAATGGGAGAAGACGAGGGGATTAAGATAGCTGAACATCCTCTCGGAAATGAGGACTTATAACATTATTCACGGACGGGTCCTCTCTGGTGCAAGAAGGGGGACAGAGGGCTGGTTGAGTGATTACGTCAGAATTTGATGTATTTGTAGCTAGGAGTATGCCCCCTACTGCCTCAGCACAGCAAGCCAAATTTAAAGCATTGATTGAAGCTTGTAAATATGCTAAACGGGAATCTGCTACAATTTATACAGATTCCAGATATGCATTTGGTGTATGTCATGATTTTGGATGGATTTTGGAGGAATGGGGATTTCCTCACTGTGGCAGGTTTGTCTCTGAATTGTTAGAAGCTTTGCAGCTGCTGACTGAAGTAGCTATGGTAAAGTGCAAGGGACACAATAATGCCCCTAGTAACTCGAGGGAACAGTCCTGCAGATGCGGCCACCAGGCGAGCAACCCTGGGAGAGCAGGAGTTCCGAGACTTCTGTTGGTGGAAAAGGGAAAGCTACAGGACATTCAGGCTGAGGCCTCCAGAACAGAGAAATGGACATGGTTAGAAAAGAATGTGGGGCTGCATGATGATGGGCTGTAGCGCTGCCAGCAGACCGGATGCCCTGAATGCCCTCACAGCTTAATGCCTTTTACTGCCTGACAAATGCATTCCATTGGACACCTGGGTGTGAGTCAAATAGTACGCCGGTTTTCCAAAATTGGGTGGGATCCGGGTTTGCAGCAATAGCCTCTGATGTGGTATCTCGATGTGATGTGTGTCAAAAGAACTCAACTACAACTCAGGTGCGGGTGCTAACTCTCAGACGGCCTGCCCCTGAGGGACCTTTCATGCATTGGCAAATTGACGATTGAAGCTTGCCAGTATGTAAAGGGAAAACTGGACTCTTAGTGATGGTGGATCTGTTTTCCTGGTGGGTTGAGGTATTGCCAGTTAAGAAGACCACTGTCTCTGTAACTGCTAAACATTTGATGATGGGTTTTAATTCCTCGGTGGGGGCTGCCCTGCCGCTTGGACTCTGATCAAAGGACACACTTCACTGGTGTGTCAGACTGTGGCCACATTGCTGGGGGTGAGATGGGACCTTCACTGCCCTCACCCTCAGTCTGCAGGAAAGGTGGAAAGAATCAACAGAACTCTGAGGGACAGACTGATGTAATATCAGACTGAAGGAACACCGGGGGTAAATGCTTTGCCTGCGGTCTTGTGTAGCCTTCGGGCTGGATCAAACAGAGCTGTGGACCGAGGTCATTTGAGATCATTACAGCCTGACCAATGAAACTCCCAGGAGGGCCAAACTTGGCTACTGGATCGTTGGGTTTGCTAACCGATTCTCTATTGCAATATTGCAGATTTCTAAATAAAGCAGTGCAAGGGGTTCGTGAGCAGGTGCTGGACGCTCCAGTAGAGGGAGGACACGACCTGATACCTAGCTTCACCTGGTATGGCTGAAGAAGATACCCTCCCAGACGTTGCAACCCCGGTGGGAGGGACCATATCAAGTGATACTGACCACCGACTCTGCCATCCAAGTGACAGGACGAGATTGCTAGATCCACGCATTGCAGTTGCTGGTATTTTATACAAGATTTAAAGCTCTCCGTTTTGAGTGCAATAAAACCACCAATCCCCTCCTTAGATACTGTTACTAACTTAGTCAAGCTTTTTCCAAGTCACTATAGAAACCAATAGAAAAACTGATAAAGTGTTATATTCATAACATAATTTGTCTTACATATTTTTAAGTAACAATATTATTGAATTTAACATTAAAACTAAACAAAGTATTTTTATAGTGAGCTAAATAATAGCCCCAGTGTGTCATGGTTTCTACAGTATCTCTATACTATGCAGGTTAATCAATGTTATTGCTACTTTATTTTTAATATTAATTTAAAATTTGATTTGATTGATTAATTTGACATGTTATGCTGTTTAAAATTATTATAAATATGGCATACATATAATTTATTTTATTATTAGAAGAAGAGTCTTTATTATCCCCAAGGGGTCTGGCATTGGCCTGGAATCAAACCCAGGCCTCCTGCACGGCAGAAAATAATTCTACCACTGAACCACCACTGCGTCACTCTGAATGCACAAGTGCGTATCAGCTCCAACTTACAGTATGCAACCATACAGTAAGTTATTCTTTGAAATTAATTGAAAGTCATTCAGATCACTACTGGCCTCTTTTTTGTTGTTTATATATTTATTTGCTTTTAAATACAATGTTTTTAAAGCCACTGTGTATATTTGTAGTAATCAAAATTCTAAATAAAATTATGTTTTCTAATTACTAATTATAAACAATTACTTATAATCCTGCATATTGCATGTAATTTAAAAATTATATTTCTGTTCGTGTTATACAGTTTTGTGACAAACTGTATAGTATCTTATTTGGAGTAGTGCGTAATCATTGTATTTAATGCAGTTGTTTGTAGAATATGATTAACCCTGGAAAACACTAATGGGATACAAATATTTAATTTTTATTATTAGAAATTGTATTATGTGACAGCCACACGCAGTTGGAGTACATAAAGATTTCACTGAGCCACCTGGCAGTTTCACAGAGTTTTACAGAGAAGTGCAGCCCCACACCAGATCATTTGAAAAAATACTGAATTAAGCAGTGGTGTTCACCATGCCACAGCAGTTGTTGCAGCACACCACCACACATTATAAATGACTGCATCTGTAGTGATACAAAACACAATTGCACTACCTTAGGAGCTTGAATTTAGATACAGCAAAAAAATGCACAAAACATCCAATTGTTTTCCAAACGCTTGCCAAATCACAGTAATTTCAAATTTAAAATTTTTAAACTCTATTAATTTATTTCATTTAAAATTGTAAAGCATTAAGTTCTTTTTTCTTTAATACCATTTAATTTTCCTTTTACTAGTAACATATCATAAATTACTGATTAGAGACTCCATCATCAACCATGAACAGAGTACAGACATAATGCTGTGAAAGTGGTATTTACTTATGAACTTCACAAGCTTCCCTCTGTATAACAAATAGCTGTACAGTTCAAGAATCACTGCACCTGCTGTTTGTGCCTGCATAATGCCAATCACTAAGCATGAGTAACATAATGCATTTCAGAAAAGGAATTAAAAGTTTAAATGATTAGAAGTGGTAATAAACCTTTTTAAAGCTGCTTCTCAGAAGGATTAAGAAAGTTCCTCAGAATGTGGTGGAGCCAGATTTGACAGCACAATGTGGAAACTAAGGGCAAACGCATTTAAAACTCAGACCAGGAAGCCCTTCTTAACCAAAGTAGAGATCTGTGGCAAATCTGTAACAAGCCACCTTGTTACAGAGGGTGGGTGGGATCCAGCAAATGAATTAGATGAACTAAATTCCTCTTATTTCTTCTTATTGCTTCCTCTTATTTGCAAAAGTTTACATAAAAGAGGTCAGATGTGGAAAACAGACAGAAGTAAAATATTTCAGTAAGACCCATACAGAACTTATGGCGCATGAGCATGCAAATCTAAGACCACATTTCTGCAATTTGTATCAATCCTTAATCCATGTATATCATCACAAAGAGACAAATAGCAATAAAGATTAAACACTAGCAATAAAATGAAGGAAACGTACACAATAAAACAGCATACTGTAGTAAGCCCTGAATAAATGTAAGTATAAAGAGTATTAAGAATGAACTTACTATCAACTGCTGGTGCACTACGATCATTAATCTGCATCACCTTCTTCAGACGAGCTCCTTTCTGGATGTCTGCCAACAATGCGTTCCTGCCTCTCTGTTCATCATGTTTCAGTTTAGAAGGTGCATCCTGTCAGAACCAGCATTAACATACTTTGTAAGAATTTCAGGAAATTAAAGAAAACGAAGAAAATGAAGGTGAAGAAAAGACCTTAAATCACACATTTAATTTCCTTGTCATTTTTAATTAAACCATTGTACACAATTTAAAGGTCTAGACCAGTGTTTCCCAAAGTAGGATTCACGGCAGAATTTTTTATTTTATCACAGTATTTTTTAGCTGCAGAAAACAATTTAAATTTAATATATGAGAATGGAGTAATGAGAAATATGCTCACATTTTAAATATTATATTTTGTATGATAACAAATGCCTTCAGATTCGTTTGTTTACATTGCATGTGCAGAAGGAGAGAAGTGGGTGATCACCCAAGGTTTATACAACACACACAGATTGGCTCAACCTCAGATAAAGCTGTTAAGTACAGATGCAGCCATTCAAAAAGTGCAGTAAAACCCTGTACTATGTGGATTTAACAGCAGATTAGTGCATTATACCGCAGTACATGATTGGCTGGCCAAAATGACCGACAGCACTCATGGTATACTGGTTGTTAGTGAAACGATTGCTTCATTTAATCTCTTTACTGTGGATGTTAAAATCCACTCGATATTGAATATTAATATGGAATTTTACAACTAAAGGGAAAATTTAGTAGCTGAGCATAAAAAAAAAAAGAGGAGCATAATGTGTCTTTAGGTCATAAACAATATTAATTTAGGAATATAAACATATTATGTAAACTGTATATGGCCGGTATTGGTAGTTTAAATAAAAAATACATATCAGTATATACTTTCTTCGTAAACATTTTAAGCATCAAAGTCTTTCATTTGGTTACCCGCTGTGGTTATTTTGGAAAAGTTTTTATGTGCTCCTTCTGACTATATAAAACTCAAACTTAACCTTTTCTATGAATACTTACGGTCACTATCGCAGTAAAAACAGCATTCTTTTTAGAATTTGATTAATAGGGAATATAATATGGTATCTAAAGAAATTAAGAATGATATTTAAGAATTAACTTATTTGCATATAGCTCTAATTATTACCATAGTCCACCTTCTTTGTAAACATCTGCAAAAATTGGACTCATTCACCTGCGATTGCTTGGAAACATTTTGCCTACCCTTTTCAGGTATAGCTTAAGTTGTCAAGTGATGCGGTGGTGTAATGGCTTTTGCCTCAAATTACCTTTGCCCGAAAAGAGGTACACTGAAAAGACTAAAATCTCAAAAGGGGTACGCGATTACTGAAAGTTTGGGAAACACTGGTCTAGACCAAAGTACTAGAACTTTACTTCAAATAGTCCTTGGTGCTGAAAAGCAACTTCAGTAAAAGACAGGCTGTTCAACCTTAAGAGGGAATAAAAAATTAAGAGGGAATAAAGAATCCCTAATTTTATCTTTTCATGTTTAATTAAATTCTGTTGCAGCTGTTTGCTGCACAAACAGTGCAGGAAAATAACTAATTAATTTCTGTTGCAAAGCATTCAGGGCTGAAAAGAATGGAACATCTGCATCTATTATAAAAAAAGTTAATGAAATCTTGCACAACATTTTTAATTGTTACACTGAACCAACTAAATGGTAGCTACTATGATGCAATTAGACCAAGAGATATTCTTTGCTTACATTAATATCTCAAATTTCTAATGCAAGACACATCAAAATTAAATGCCCCAAATATCTGAGCTTGTTTTTCCAATTTCAGAGTCAAGCGTCATGGGAATGAAATATGTGCTATCTCTTCTCAGCAGTGAAATTTTACCTCTGAATAAATAATGTAAAGAATGCTCTGTGACATGCTAACATATACTATGTCAAACAGAGAGCAAGTGTGCAAAGAGAATGCTTTACCAGGCAGAAAAAATGGTTTCATTGATAATTTTAACTGCTTATAAAATATATTATTTTTTAAAGAGAATGTACATTTTAGCAAATGGACAGAATCCATAAGCTTAAATGATATCGTTGTTGTTCTTATTACTTATTTGCTTCACAGATACCCTTATCCAAGGAAGCCTACAATACATACATAAAATATACTTGCACAATACACTTATGAAATTTACAGTAACAATCATGATGTACATTCAGCAAGTTAAAAAAAATAAAAATAAGGTCAGCAGACAGCACAAGCACTATACCAGGAAAAATGAATCATGAGATCTTAATCAGGTTACTTACACCAAGTGTTTGTGTCTGGACAACAAGTGCCAACTAAGGCAGCCTATTAGCAGACACACTAAAAAGTAAACACAGTATTGTTTTTTTAATTTTATATTCAAACGACCTTTCAAGCTTTGACATGAAAGTCATCCAAAACTATACAACGTTTAAAGAATTAAGTGATTTGTACAATTAACTTTTACAATTATAGTATAATTATAACAGACACTTACCTGGGAAAGAGGTGGGTGAGGAGGTAGGGGAGTCCCAGACATAGGGGGAGGGGGCCCTGGGGGTGGAGGTGGTGGTGGAACTGGCATTATAGAGATGCCATAAACTGGAGATTGCCCTTCTTATCTACAAGGACAGAAGAATAAATGTCTCATGACAAAACACAAAACAAAATGAGGCAAAAATGGAACTTCTAATTTGATAGCAGGAGCATGAACAGGAAATTAAAAGGCAAAATCAGTAAACTTTACATTTTTTATAAAACAAACTGAACATTTCACCATATCAGCACTTGTATAGCACTTACAAAAAAAATGAATGTTAAGTACTATATTTACGTCATAAACAAATCCATTTTCAAGTATTATATTGTCCCCAAAATGTTCTGATAAGAAAAGATTTCAGATTTAAAGACAAATCTTCCTGTCAATTAAAACAAATAATAAACATTTCTTACTTGTTTGTTAAGTTTTATGTAATATTTTAACATGTTTTATCAAAATCAATATGAAAACCATTCCCTTTACTTATTATTGCATTCATTTTACTCTTGTTTTAGGTGCAAACGGCCCAACATATCTACAGATGCAGCCATTCAAAACAAGCGGGGTATGCTGCAGTATAACACGGTGGGCATGTCGCAGTATACCGCATCATACATAAATTAGATTATGTTAATAGTATCCGGAATCACCTTGTAAAACCGCCAGATGGAGCTAATAAAGGTTAACCTCTCCTGTACAGCATTTGAGCTGTCACCAGAAAACGTCTGTTTCGAATCCCAATCACTGCTGAGGGACAATCTTTATTCAAATAAGAATTTAAGTTGTATACTCTTTAGACTTTTAAATTTAAACAGTGTATTAC